GCCCGGCCCGGCCCGGCCCGTCGGGGAAGGCGCCTGGCTGATGCTTTCCCTTCCCTGCTTGGCTGGTGCTTGGGCGGGCAGGGCACCGTCCTGTCCCCTCGACGGCTCTGCCTTTGTGTCGCTCCTCCGTCGGAGCCGCTTCGTGCCGTTCCCTTCCCTCCTCCCTCCTCTCCTCCTTCCTCTTCGTTTTCCCTCGAGGCCGCCGCCTTGGTGTGGGGGCTCTCCCCGTGTTTCACCTCGGGGGCAGCGCATAGGAGGCCGTGGCATAATTGCCCTGGTGAAGCAGTCAGGGCTCTGTCACATCCCCAGAGGTAAGAGGATGATCTCACTACCCGTAATATTTTTTTTTTTTTTTCTTCTCCTCTCTTCTTCTCAACTTCGTTCTTTGAGCATGATGGGAAGGAGCGATCTTATCTGGGCAGAGCCCTGCAGTGATGATGGTGCCTGCGAGGGTGTCGGCTCCCCCAGCACCCCGCCTGCTCGGCTGCCAAGCCGGGCCTCTCTCGGTTTTGCTCGCCTTTCCTATTAGAAATCCTAAGCTGCAGCTTCAGGGAGAGCCGAGCGTGACTGGGACGGCTGACGTTTAGTGGCTGGTTTGGCTTCAGCTCTCGAAGGCGCTAGTTCTGAAGAGGGCTATTTTGGAAAGCTGTTGCCCGTGCTAGCAGTGCAAGCCTGCGCCTTTGAGGTGTATTCTAGCTTAGTTGTAACCTGGGCTGGTTATTTACCTAAAGCGTCTTTAAATGGTTAACTTGACTATAAATGAACGTTAAACTGTAACTGATATTGTCATATTTGCAGTTTTTAGCACATGTAAAATTCCAGATGGGCATTTGACATGCTACTAACTTAACACAGGCTTAAATGCTGTATGTATTATGCAATTCCCTTAGGTGTAACTAATGCATAACCTTCATAAAAGGCATTGTATTATTGCATAAAACGTTTGCAAAGTAACATCAAGAGGACCACAATTTCTCTTTGGGGAACAGGCTCCTGTTTTGAGGCCTTTTTTAAAAAAAACGTCTAATCACTAATCAAGGTACTGTGTTAGTTTATAAACAAGCAAAAAAGAACAGTTTATATTCAAGTGGGGAAACAGTTATTAATTTGTTAGGTGGAGCATTACGAATTAGGCATGAGCAAAACGGTGTTGCTTATCTGAGTAAAGCTGAGAGGGAGAGTTACTTTTTTTTTTTAGATTCTTAAGAGCTAGATCTCTCCATGCTTCACCTTCTTGCAAAAGCATAGTACTTTTAAAGAGACTACTAGACATCCCTGCATATAGTAAGCTGAATGGTATCAGCTTTTTTGTTGCCTTCTGACAAATTGCTTACTTTCCTAAAAGAGGCCATAATGTCTGTAAAGATAAATTTTCTGTTCTCTTCTCATTATCCAATCCCATATATGACACTGGAAGACAGAGCCATATTTGATCATACAGTTTGGGCCTGTGAGTTGCCAGGAATAGCTTCTCACTGTTGAATCCAGCAGGCTTTGGGGTTGTTTTGTTTGATTTGTCCAATTCTTTTTTATACTTGGGCTGTGCTCATTATGATGCAGCATAAACGCAGTCTTTACTGAGATGAAGCTGTGCATGGTAACTTTGGCTGTTTGCTCTATGATGAGTTACTCTGTCTTAATGAGTTTACTATACTGCACTTTCAAGGATGGGGTTTTTTAATACTTTTGATTTGAAAGTAGTTATGAAGTATGATGAAGTCTTGTATCAGTTTATTTCACAACTGAGTTACAAGTGCAACTTCAAAGCAAATTCAGTAGTCCTTGAGAAGGTCTATAAATCCAGTTATGTCTAAGAGACTTCTTCAAGTTTTGTCGCTTGTTCTCATGAGGCTTCATGTAAGATAAATTCACAGGCCGCTCACTGCATTCTATGAAGTTAACAGTGGGTTTGGAACAGTGAACTTGCCTTTTAGGTCCCTGCAGTCTTGTCTCCTGCTTCTGGTTGTTATTTTTACTTGACTTGACAGAGTCACACAGGTAATGATATGTAAAACTGTCAGAGAAGCGTAGAAGTGCTGTTTTCCTGTTTGTCACATGCGTAAGTGTTAAAAGTGGGCTGAAATCTCTCATGGTAGGGAGAGATTCTTAGCCGGGTTGATATATGGAAGAGAGCCTTTTAATTCAGGGATAAATAAGCACTGATGCTGCAGAAGGTGATAATTCAAGAGATGATACATGGGGGTTTTGTGTACCCTAGATATCACTGAATAGTAGACTGCTGGAGAAGAGCTTTGCATAAAAAGTAAAACTTTCCGTGACTCTCGTGGGTTTTTTTGCAGTATTAAACATTGAGATTTTATTTTGTTAGTGTAGAAAATTTAATTTCAAGTTAGTAGATTGCAGAGATGAAATCTATTTTCTTAAGGTATTTCTGTGTTTTATAACTACAGTTGGCCTTATGTTTCATTATATAGCTATGCATTTCAAGGGCAGAAATAAAGATGCACAGTAGGTCACTGAGAGCTATATTGCAGTGTTTAAATGTTTCAGAGGAGCAGATGCTTTGATATAAATTAGAGAATAGACAAAGAAGAACCAGCATATGAAGAAAATAGGAAGCATCTTAATGCTTTTCCTCCTCCTTCTCTGCCCCTGTATTTATTCTTCCTCGGGAGTAGTAACTGAGTGACAGAAGGCAGACAAACACATGGGGAATAAGGAAGGTGTGTATATGAGGAAAAGACCTGAATGCAGGAAAAGGCCTTGGTTTTTCCAGCTAGCTGTGGCTTATTTCAGAAGGCAAGAGAGCTATATCGGCAGAAATAATAAAGGCTGACTGTCTGACAGAGAGTTAGTGTAGAAGAGAGGAAGTGCAAAATTCAGTTTTTATTGACTGTAACATTAGAGAAAACTTGAGGATGTTACTGAAATGTGAACAGATCTCTACTTGTAATGCAGTCTCCAGTGTAGTGTTGGACATAGCCCAAAATGCCAGGCCTGCAAAATTCTTAATCTATTTTAGTAGATTTAGAATTCCATTGATGTCTCTATTACTAAATGTTCCTGGTTATTTAAGCTGACAGTTATCATAGTAAATGTAGTCCCTTCAAAATGCAGCAAACCAGGAGCATTGGGAAGTGAGTGCATGTTGTAAGTGAGAAGTTTCCTTGCATGCTGTGGTGTGCTCTTTCTTGTATCCAGCTGTAAGTCAGTGTTTGTCTAAACAATGACTTGTGATACAACAGCATGTATCTTTCTTGCAAGATGGTTTGGGATTTTTTGTTGGTTCCCCCCCCCCCGATAATTATGAACAATAGAAACATTCTTAGAAAATACTTACTGGGGTTTGGAGCCAAATAAACCTTTGTGCAGTTGTATAATTGCGTGAAAATACAGGATAGTAACTTACTTCAGCGCCAAACTATGGGAATTTAGGTAACCAGCTTTAGCATAAAACATTTTTACAAAGTGGAGCAAGTGCTGTAGATGTCACCAGGAGACAAACGACATAAGAAATACAACAGTCAGTACATGCATTCTTTTGGTTTTGAGCCTAAATGCAACAAGACATGGCTAGAAGCATTGCTCTCAATGCTTTATAAAATTAGGTAAGAAACATAAACATCAAAATTCTAGTGAGCTTATCTGACATACAGAAATAATGTAACTGCTTTAAAAAAATTGACTGCTGAAAAGGTCAGAGTAACAAGTATGGTTCAAGTTCAGGTTTTGAAGTTACACTGTAATGCATGGAATGACTGAGATGAATTGGAATGGGAGATACCGCTGACCTGTTTCAAAATTTTTTTCTACTGTTACACTGATCTCTCAAATTAGGACTTCGAAAATTTATAAGTCTAAGGTCATCTCGATACATGCTGTAGCCTAACTTTGAGAAACATTTAGATACATATTTGTATATGGCTCAATTTTATAAATAACACTTTCCTGTTAGTGCTAGGTAAAGCAGCAGGGTTTTGTTGCTGTTGAGGAAGGAAGCTTGGTTCATTGTCTCAGCACTAAGCAGCATTTTCTCCCTCCAGGGACTTGCAGAAGCATCTAGAACGTGTAGGTGTTTCTTTAATCTTGGAGAAGGAACTTATTAAGCTTTCTGTTGCAGAACTGTATGAGCCACTTACTTTTAACAGATGTTATCTGCATGAGTAGGGAGTTGCAGGTCTGGTAGACATTCGTGGCATTCAACAGTTTAAACAGTTTTCAGGTTTGAACATATGCCTTTGCCTTGAAAATCTGAATAGTTTCAGGTATTTTATGTAGAAGAAAGGTGGTTTGATGGTGAGGTTGCTTGCTCTGGGACTTGGGAAACAGGTTCAGCTCACTTGTGTTGCCAAAAGCTTCCTGTGTGGCCTGGGACAAGCTGCTTCTCTGTCCCTCTGTTCTCATACTGAAACTGCAGAGCAGTAGCAACTCGCTGCATCGCAGAAGTGTTAGAAGGATATGTCAGTCAGGTTTTGATGTGTTCAGGTGCAGTAGTAATGTGTGGCATATAACTCCGTTGTGCTAGGAGGAAGAGGTTGAAGAGACTGCTAGGGGTAAGCTCCAGGCAGACAGAGTAAAAACAGAAAAAAAAAAAGGGGGGGGGGGGGGGGAGTTCTGACTGGAAATCTCTTGGATCAGTTAAAAACAGAGAAAGCAAGTCCTTAAAACTTTAAGGAGCACTGCATTGCTTTGTTTGTTTAACAAAGTATATAAAAAAAATAATGCTTAAAATACCTGAATGAACCAGGCAAATCTTTTTTCTATTATGATTCTGCCACACGGGGAACAGCAGCAAAGCTGTCTCTGTTCCTCTGTCGACTGTTCTCTTCTTTGGAAAGTGCTTTTAATTCTAGCTAACCATTACATCCAAATGTTTTAGCTGTCAATTTTGTTCATTTGTTCTGCTGGCATGATAGGCAGAATCTCTTAAATTCAGTCCAATTTACTGACTTTCCATGTGAAAGAGGTTGAGAAGATAGCTTCTCTGCCCCCCCACTCCTCCAAGGGGGAAAAGAATTTGCAGTCACCTCTGGAGAGCACTGTATTCAGTAACTTTATAGAGCTAAAAGTATTTTGGATTTAAAATCCTTCTGGTGGAAATACAAGATGGCATTGCCATTGCTATAAACTGAAAATATAGACTAGACAGCAATTATCAAGCTTTGCAAACATGTTTTCATTGTTGAGAGTCAACACTCCCAGGAACAGTCTCTCTATACTGACAGATAGGCGATAAATTCATTAGTTTAATATGTAATTGTTTTGATGTGTATGCTCTCCATGGGTGCTTTGGTACCCACCACATTTACATCCCATGTCCAAGAAAATATGTTTGAACTTGTTCAGGCTA